CACTGATCCATGAAATGAGGTCGAGGTCAAAAGAAAACTGTCTGAAGGGCATGAGGACCTTGCAAGGTACGCACATACCAAATATAGTTATCCTATTACTTATAATAAGAGAGAATTTAACATTACAAAAAATCTTAACTTTTTTTTCAAGTAGTCACTGAACCATGAAAATGAGGTCAAGGACAATGGACATGTGACTGACGGAAACTTCGTAACATGAGGCATCCATATACAAAGTATGAAGCATCCAGACCTTCCACCTTCTAAAATATAAAGCTTTTAAGAAGTTAGCTAACGCCGCTGCCGTAGCCGCCGCCGCCGCCGGATCACTATCCCTATGTCGAGCTTTCTGCGACAAAAGTCGCAGGCTCGACAAAAACTATGTTTCACTGTTATGGATTATGCCCCTTTTCTTATCCTTACTTTCAAATTGGGATTAATCACATTTTAATCTTTGAATAATGGATTAAATATTTGGGGCCACTTTTTTTCATTTTTTTCTTTTTCTTTATTTTTTATTCTATAGCTTACTAGGAAGGATCAGAGGGTTGTTCAGAAAAAATACTCAATTTTGACATTTATTATATCAAACCCCCAATTTTGATTGAAATTGAAAACTGTCACAAATATTTTCTTCTTTATTTCTTAAAATCCATTTTCAAAGCATATGTAGTTTGTCTTTGAATTGGTTTATAACTCAAAATGTTTAAATGAAAATGGAAACCCTCTTTGTTATTTTTTGTTACTATTTCATACAAAATGTTTCTAAATAAAATCTATTTGGTGCCATATAAAGTACTTTATGTTTCTATTCAAATCTATTTGGTGTCATATTAAGTACTTTGTTTCTAGTAAAATCTATTTGGTGCCATATTAAGTACTTTATGCTTCTAGTCAAATCTATTTGGTGCAATATTAAGTACTTTATGCTTCTAGTCAAAGCATATGTGATTTGTCTATGAATTGGTTTATAACTCACTACTGTTTAAATGAAAATGGAAACCCTCTTTATTACTTTTTGTAACTATCTCATACAAAATGTTTCTAAACAAAATCTATTTCGTGCCATATCAAATAATTTATGTTTCTATTCAAATCTATTTGGTGCCATATTAAGTACCTTGTTCCTAAAAAAATCTATTTGGTGCCATATTAAGTACTTTATGCTTCTAGTCAAATTTTTCTGGTGCCAAATTAAGCACGTTAAGTACTTTGTTTCTAGTCAAATCTATTTGGTGCCATATTAAGTACTTTATGCTTCTAGTCAAATCTTTTTGGTGCAATATTAAGTACTTCATGCTTCTAGTCAAATTTGTCTGGTGCCATATTAAGTACTTTGTTTCTAGCCAAATCTATTTGGTGCCATATTAAGTACTTTGTTTCCAATAAAATCTATTTCGAGCCATATCAAGTACTTTTATTTCAAGGATATTGTGATTATTTATTATTACAAATGTTAATTTACAAACTCATATCATTGAAAAATCTGAACTAAGTCTTATGAATTCATAACCCAAGAAGATTGATTGAAGGGTGTTTAAAGCCACTATCAGCACTATTGCCTTCTTTGTGGCAGTCAGGTTTATTGGTGGGTGAAAGGGGAGTGTAGTGAAGACAAAAAATTTGGTAGGAAAACTGACAATCCTAGTCAATTAAATTGGAGTTGAACGCACCACCTGCTACGTGCGGAATTCGAACTCACAACCTAAGTGTTAAATTGACACTGGCTAGTGATACAGTTGTTGGAATACTAAGACCACTCTTCCACCTAAGCCCCTAAAAAGAACAAATGAGTCTATCCCATCGTTTGACAATAAAATAAAAAAAGTGCTTTATTGTATTTTACATTTAAAGTTACATTATGTGAAATTCACAGTAAAATAAATAATCACAATAATCTTGATAAACTATTTTTTTTTATTTGGTCTATAAAAGATTTGTTTATGATAATTGTAAAGCCCTTATAACAATACTTCAGGGATTGCTGGAGTAAGTAAATGAGATTGGCATGTTTTAATTTCTAGGGCACCTTCATCAGGATAAGAACTACAGAAGAGTACAAAATGGTGAAGTGATAATTTGCACTTCACAATGTCAACAGGGGGAATAATTATAAATAAAAATTAAAAGTAGGTATAAAAGTAGACTTTAAAAAGAATGTTAAATAAAATTTGTTTAATAGTGTTAAATAAAGTTTTGCAGAGGTACATGCTTCCAATTGGCTTCCACTCAGAGTTACATGCTTCTAATTGGCTTCGCTCAGCCAGAGGTACTGCTTCCAATTGGCTTCAGCAGACAGAAATATATATGTACTGCTTCCAATCGGCTTTGCAACGACAGAGGGTACATGCTTCCAATTAGCTTCACAAAGAGGTACATGCTTCCAATGGGCTTCGCTCAGACAAACGTACTTCTCCCACTGTTGAAATGGTACGGAATTGCAAGTCTGTACTACTTCCAGTGTAGGAAATGATACATAATTGCAAGTCAAGTGTCGTCCAAATTAGCAAAAACATATTTTATTTTGAAATGCAAATTATCACTTCAGGATTTTATACTATTCTGTAGTTTAAATCCTGATGGAGGTGTCACAGGAACCAAAATATGTCTATCTCATTAAATCACTGCAGCAATCCCTAAAGTCTTGTTGTTATTAAGTATAGAATTATGTGTTTAAACGTAACCCAACCCTGCATATATACATGATCGAGGACTCCACTTTTGACATTAAATTGTATTGAAGTTTTGGATGGAAGATGAATATGGACAAATAAACAGACATTTTGCTCTTTAACATATCATTACAAATTAAACAAAGAAACATTTTATTTTGCAGGTTCCTTTAGCACATATTTTTGTGGGATTTAAATATGTCATTTAAAAAATCAAAAAATTTGCCTTAAAAGACCTGATGAACAAGAAAAATATATAACACACACCACATACAGTATTAACTAATATCAAGTTTATTTTTTATTACCTGAAGTAAATTCATGCGAATAATTTCAACAAATGATTGCTTGTCCGAGGGGAGGGAAGACTTTTCAAAGAACACTAGCAAAATCCTATTTAAATATTTCGTGGACGGGCAGACTAGAAATTTTGAAGACCCTTGATAACACACACTTAAAAGTTTGTTCTAAGTTTTTTTTTAAGATCCACAAGTTATGTTTGTTGTCAAGAGCTGTTAATAAACAACGAAGAGTGTGTTATAGTGAATGATATGTCTGACTTCTTTTTCTAAGTACATTTCATAAATAAAAAACGTTAGTTTGCCTTAATTCTAAAAGAAAATAAAAAATAACTAAAAAAAGAGTTTTATCAATTGTAGTTGCACAAAGTTTTTATGTAATTATTTTTATTATATTAACATGTAGCCTAAACTTATAAATAAAACTTATGGAATCTGGAGCGAGATGATGTATCAAATTTCTGTTAAAAGTTTTCAGGACAAAAACATTCAACATCCCAAAATACTGTTGCAGGGGTTGATGCAAATTAATGCTTTCTATGAATATTTTTTTTGGCTTTTATGCTTCTCTTCAAGATTCAAAAGTATTTTCACCAACCATGTTCACATGTTTTTTTTTTAATTTTCTTTATTTTAAAGTGAACAAATATGTCAAAGCGCAGCATACTAAAAATTATGCACTTACATTGAACTTTTAAATACCATATAAACAATTAAATTATACCAACTTAAAATTTCTACAATCTCTAATAAAGAATTCTATTTCGTTATTGCTAGCAATTACAAATCTAGTTCTATTTCTTTTTTTAATTTCAACTTGATATCAGGCAGTTTGGTTAAAATGGAAAACGTTCACAACTTTATTTATTTCCCCAAGCTATTTCAGATTTTCTCTTTCCAAAATAAGGTGGAGGTATTTGTATTTGTTAACCTCCCATGAAAAAGAATATGGAAGTCCAAGGCATTTCAGCTACTTTACAAACAAATGTATCTATCAAAATTTATGTTGTGGCATAAAATACTTTTATTCATGAAGAGGAAAATTCTTTGATTTCAGGAATAATCAAAATCACAAATTTTAATAACCAAGTTCATTGATTGCCAAGTAGGAAACAATGAATTCATAAACCCAATAAACAGCTGCGCCATGAGCGCATGATACGCCCGTCGTCTTGAGGAAAAAAACATAATAAATGTTTTTGGAATAACATAGGGGTTGTACAGGAAGTCATGCTAAGTATATCCTGACTCATTCCTTATTCCTGAGGAAGTTTATATAAGAGACAGAAAAAAATTTACTCACAACATGTTTTATATGATACCAAATTGAAGCAATAATTCTGAGTAAGGGAGCAAAGAAAATTTTGCATGTCAATAAAATTGAGAATGGAAATGGGGAATGTGTCAAAGAGACAACAACCCGACCACAGAACAGACAACAGCAGAAGGCCACCAACAGGTCTTCAATGCAGCGAGAAATTCCAGCACCCGGAGGCGTCCTTCAGCTGGCCCCTAAACAAATATATATACTAGTTCAGTGATAATGAACGCCATACTAAACTCCAAATTGTACACAAGAAACTAAAATTAAAAATAATACAAGACTAACAAAGGCTACATGAATTGAAAATTTCCATAAAACAGAAAGTTGATAAAACAGAGAAACAAAAATTGTTACATCATGTTTCAGTGTTCATGGTATAATGTTTCTCTAAAATAAATTCCCTATATTGGTTTTTTCTAAGGGCTATTCCATCAATAAATGTATGATGGGAGGGTTGCAAGGCAGGTTTTTGTGACCCAACCAGCCATACATTTTTTGCTGGAATAGCCCTGAAGGCAATCTTTAATTAATATTAACTGTAGATATCAAAGCAAAAATCTGTCAAGTTTCTATGCACAATGTATATAAAAGAATCATCAGTTTATGTACCAAGTATGGTTCCATCACAAGTCAAGTATATATTCATATGCAATTTGCAACAATTATACATTACCTACAATTGAGACACTCTGATTCATAAAATAACTAATTCAAACTGATCCAAATGATTTTGTAGTCAGAATAATATGTTTCCATAGTTCCACATTTGAAGTCCTGATCAATGTTTGTGAAAATAAGATCTATTGTAGAGTTGTTGTCATTTGTTGGTCCTGTAATCACTTGCCTGTATTTCAATCCACCAACCATTAAATTTCTCAGTTCTTCTTTTTGGGCAGATTGTTTTTGCCAGTCAACATTGAAATCCCAAAGAATAATTGCCTCTGAATCTTTCACATATTGATGGTACAGTGACAGCAGCACATGGCAAAGATCTTTCACGTCTGTTTTTGGTGGTTTGTACACAACCAGAATTACAACATTTGGTAGCAGTTCTGTCTTCACAACAGCCACCTCTATGGTTTTGTAAGTTTTTTTCAAAGGATACTCTTTTACAAAGTCTTCTTTACTGTAAACAGCTAAACCATGCACTGGTCGAGTAGCTTTACCAGATGAATTTTCCTTTTGTTTGTTGTTCTGGAATGGAAGCCTATTTGTATTATTAGTTACATCAGAAGAATTTTCATCTTGTCTGTACTGTTGAAAACTTGGCAGACTTGTTTCATTGAAAGAGTCTTTCTTGTGAAATCTTGTTTCTGAGAAGCAAGCAATATTTGTGGCCAAAACACTATTGTCAGAACGTATGTCATCAATATGCCTACTCATGGACGATGCATTTAAGAAACATAGCTTCATGTCAGATTGTTCAATCTTGTATAGGAACTGAAGAGATGGTTGAACCGGGTTTTCTCTGAGTCGTTCCATTTCTTTCCGGACAGACTTATCTATGCCAATTTTGTCTTCTTGCAAGTTTGCTATATGCAGACCATTCAGAGTTTGTACACGGCTGATAGCAACATAGTGAATATGGTCAACCTTTCTTTGGGTTGTTAAATCAACAACAGCTCTCTGCATAGTATCTCCTTGACAGCGATGAATTGTTTTGGCATGAGCAGCTCTCAATGGGAACTGATATCTCTGAATCTGCGCTTGGCCTTTTGTGCCTGCACAGAAAGTCTTACCAATAGGTTCTAAAGGGGTCCATTCTTTTTTGTGACAAGACTTGTAAAATCTTCTGCTGTCCTTACGAAGTTGCTTTCCAATTTCTGGATCATTAAACTGAACCCAAAGTTTGCCAGAAGCAAAGAATGAGGCATCTGTAAGTTCCACTTTAACCATTTTACAAGAAGCCCCATTTATTAATCCATCAGATGTGTCCAAATTAACTGTTATTTCATAATGAACACCAACTGATACTTCAAGAATTGTACTGAGCTGTTTTGTTTGATTTTTGCTATTTTTGAATGTCTCCAATATTTTTGTTTTCATTGAAGGTGGTGCAGACCCAACAAACTTATCCTTAGCCTTTATGGAGTAAACTAGATTAGGACTTCTGTGAATGATAGTACAGTTGTAGGAATCAACTCGCTCATTAGTTGTGAAAAGATGAGGAGCATCCCATGGATAATCTTCTGAATCCACAGCTATACCTTGACCTTTAAGTACATCTATATCTTCTGTAGTCTGCTTTCCTTCACGAACACGATTTAACAGCTTTTTTCTGCTTGTCTCATTATTGTATGAAGTTCAAACATTTTGAAACTTTCAGTCCAAAGATTAGTTGCTAAAGGTAAATATCCTGTCCTAGGAGATGAGAAAATATAACTATCCATTACAGGTTTGAGTTGAAAGAGGTCACCTACTGCAATGACCGATATGCCACCAAAAAGTTCTTTCTTCTGAGTTACCTCCACAAGCCGTTGATGAATACAATTAAACATGTTAAAACCTACCATTGAAATCTCATCAATGAAGATTAGTTTTACATCTCCAATTTGGTTTCTAAGTGTATTGAGTGCACTAGAAGACAGCGGTTTGTTCTGCAGCTTTTGATTTGCAGGGAGTTTCAAGGCACTATGGATTGTATTTCCTTTGATGTGGTAGGCAGCTTTACCTGTAGGGGCCATAAGTAAAATTTTCTTCAATGCAAATTCCTCTCCTGCTTTTTTGTTGAAGAATTTCAAAGCGAACTGATAAAGAGCATTGGTAACATAACTTTTCCCAACACCGGCTCCACCACTAAGGAATCTATAAATTGGCTCTTGTTGTGTTTTGAACAAATGGATAGTGTCATACACTAACTCTATTTGTTCTTTGTTAAGTCGACGCATGTGTTGTCGAAACTCTTTATCAGGCATATCGTACTGTTTACTGATCTCATCCTCAGCATTGAAAGGTGGTAGTCCTAAATCTAAACCTATATCATAGTTTTCTATTCCTTTATCAGGTTGCTTGGAAGAATTAGCAAGGTCTTCTGCATTCTCACTCTCTGTCTGGGGAGCCAATTTATCCCACATCTCTTCAAGGTGTTCATTTTCATTTAAAAGACGTTGGGCTTCATCAACAGTATCACTAAAAGGTTCGTAAATCTTTTGTTGCTCTTCTATCGTATCTTTGAAATGTTGATACGCCTCTGAATATGTAGGAAAGTTACATTTAAATGCATGTTCATCTCTCCATTGATTGTACAGCATTAACTTTTCTCTATAATGTTTCTCTGGATCGGTATCGATGTTGAAATGTACAGATCGAATTACTCTTGCTCTTTTCTTTCTTTTGTACGGTCCTGTTGAAGTATCTTCCACATCCTGTTCATCGTCATTTTCAATGATGTTTGGCTCTGGTAAACATACTTGATTTGCATTTTTTTTTACTTGCTTCTGTTAATTGTTCTGGAAGGTGGCTCATCGTAATATGCTGCAAATTCTGCCAAAGTAACCTTTTCCATTGACTTTGGACGATCACTATATCTAGACAAAATGTTAGTGCATTCAACATCGTCATCCTCATCTTTCATTGTGTCTAGAATGGAATTTGGTTTTAGTAATGTTACTCTTTCTTCAGGAGGGCTGGTGTTTAAAAATATAACTTGTCTGGATGACTTTTTCATTGGCAGTTGCAAACATATGTAAACCGATTCCTGAGCTGATATCTCAACAGCATTTAGAAATTTGTTTTCAACCATTTTGATCTGCTGTTTAATTGTTTGATTGCCATGTCTAACTTCTTCAGTTGCTTTCCTTAACAATTCACTCATTCCACGTTGAGATTTGGTTATGTATGATGCTACATAGGTGGCACATGCATATACATCTAGCACAAATTGAACGTCAAGATTAGCTCTCCAGGCACGCAGAACATTAGTGTTATAGCTAGTTATCCTCACTTCTTTGAAAGAGCGTTTCAGGAAAACTGTTGCGGCCAATAAAGAAGCTCTGATTGCCAGGATGTACTCACTTTCTGTGATTTGTAATCTTTGAAGAAATGTATCTATTTCTTCATTGTCAGTTTCAATGCTATCTAATTCCTTTGAAATTTTACTCCAGAGATTTTTGTATTTCAAAATCTCTTCTTTTGAAAAGTCTGCTTGAGTGAGTGGATGCAAAATTCTTGTAGTTTTTAAAGGTTTCGGATATCCAAATCGACACTTTTTTTTACGTGGTGATTTGCAAGTATGTGTATGCTTGTGTGTTTGGAATTTTACTAACTCTGAGATTTCACTTTCCTCTTCCGGTTTATGACATGTAATGAATCTATCGATGTATTCACAAACATCCTCATCAGAATCCTGTCCAAATATAGGAGCATCTTTGCAGTAAACAATCATGTGTACATGGGGGGATCCCCTCTGTTGGTACTCTATACGGTAAAAATAGTCAGTCACATTACCTAGAGGATTTCCATCAGAGAGCAGAAACCCATTGATGAACTTCTGAGTTGAAAAATCGTAATGGCGTGCACATGTGACAGGATCACTTTGAATCAATCGACATTTTTCTTGCCATGACATATTGTTCAGTTCATCATCGCTATAATCCTTTTTATCAACAATTCTCCCAAGAAGTCTTAACAAGTGTAACCATCTTGTTTCTGCAGCTGACAAAGTGACAAAAAATGTTGCTGGCCCAAGTTGACGGATAAGCGCAAACAGTTCCTTACTCACTTTCTCGAAATAAGGAGGTGAACCTCGAATGTTGGCAAGAAATTTGTAAGCTTTGTCCTCATGAACCATATCTAATGCTGCATCTCCTCTTACATCCTTTGCAGTTAATCTATTATCTTTTGTTTTCACTTTCCTTACTGTCATTTGAGTTTGGTCTATCAAGGTCTTCATCTGAATTTTCTTTGTCTAAAAGAATAAATTTTCAACTGACTGAGCAGCCCTTCTGTCAACATTTCTTAGTTCGGCCTTCACTATTTCTCCATAAATGATTCTGGTTTGTCGATCCTTATTTGGTGGACGCCTCTTTCCACAAAAGATACTAGGAAAAGCTAGCTCTTCAGAATCCTCCTGCATAAAAACACTGACAGGAATGTGACCTTCCCCTGGGGTAAAGTTATAAACAATATCTCGTTCTGATGGTTCAACAAACCCAGGTGCAGATAGAAGAGTGTCTGCCTCTCCACTCATAAGTTCGCATTCATCAATTTCACTCCACTTGTCATCTTCATCATCACTGGCATCATTAGAATTTTTCATTTGGTCATTGTTTGATATATCATTTTTCTTAGGGTTTTGATTTAATTGTTCTTGTTCACTAATTACAAGGTATTCCTCAGTGGTATCATTCTCCAGAGATGTCCCATTGTACAGGTCTTCCCAATCATTGTTTATCACCACATTGTGTTCTCTGTACAAAGGAGAATGTGATAGAAGTTTAGCAGCTTCTATTACCAACTGTGGTCTTATATTAAGGCAATACACATGATGTTTGTATTTCAAACGACGTTTTAATGTGGCTTTGATGGTAGCAGTTTCAGTTGTTAGCCTTGGTAGTTGTGTAACAGTCTGACAAACATTAGCTGGAACCAGAACCATGTTCCCTTGAATAAACTTTTGCCAACCTCTTGGTTCTTCGTGGATCTTCATAAAAGGCAGTATGACGGAAACAAGAGTTTGCTCCAAAGGGTTTAGATCTTTCAAAATCTCTTGATCTGGAAATGTCATTAGGTTCATCACTGAGGTGGGCGGAATTTTACCTTTCTTTATGTAAGTCTTGCAAGTGTTGCATATCCAAATTGTATCATTTATACTCTTTATTCGTGGACATTGTAAAATGATGTTTGCTACTTTCTCAGAATGTTTATTTGCAAATGTGACTTCAAATCTAGATACACTGTGCTTATACCAAAGTTGTTTACAAGACGTACATGTATATATAGGTCCTCCAGAAACAGTTCTATGAAAGTCACTGATTAATTCATTAATGTCTTTTGATTTGTTCTTTTTTCTTTGTTTTCTTTTAGCCAACTTTTCTTTCTTAGCTTCTGCACTTCTTTTTTTTTTGCGTAAAGTTTTTCTTCTTAAAGTTTCTCTCCTCTTATAAACACTGTTAAGTCTTTTGAATAAGCGTAACTTCTTTTCCCGATTGATTTCTTTTTCTTTGCAAGAAGAATCAAGTCTTTTTCTCTTACGAGCTTTAGTTTCACACTGAGTTTCATTGCTTTTAAACTGAACATCAAGTCTGTTCAATTTTCTAGCTTTTGCATCAATGTCTCTTTCCTTTTGCCTGTATTGTTCATCAAGTCTTTTCAATTTTCTAGCTTTCACATCAATGTCTCTTTCATTTTGCCTGTATTGTTCATCAAGTCTTTTTCTCTTACGAGCTTTAGTTTCCCGCTCAGTTTCATTGCTTTTAAACTCAACATCAAGTCTGTTCAATTTTCTAGCTTTCGCATCAATGTCTCTTTTATTTCGCCCATATTGTTCATCAAGTCTTTTTCTCTTACGAGCTTTGGTTTCACACTCAGTTTCATTGCTTTTAAACTCAACATCAAGTCTGTTCAATTTTCTAGCTTTTGCATCAATGTCTCTTTCCTTTTGCCTGTATTGTTCATCAAGTCTTTTCAATTTTCTAGCTTTCACATCAATGTCTCTTTCATTTTGCCTGTATTGTTCATCAAGTCTTTTTCTCTTACGAGCTTTAGTTTCCCGCTCAGTTTCATTGCTTTTAATCTCAACATCAAGTCTGTTCAATTTTCTAGCTTTCACATCAATGTCTCTTTCATTTTGCCTGTATTGTTCATCAAGTTTTTTTCTCTTACGAGCTTTGGTTTCACACTCAGTTTCATTGCTTTTAAACTCAACATCAAGTCTGTTCAATTTACTAGCTTTTGCATCAATGTCTCTTTCCTTTTGCCTGTATTGTTCATCAAGTCTTTTCAATTTTCTAGCTTTCACATCAATGTCTCTTTCATTTTGCCTGTATTGTTCATCAATTTTTTTTCTCTTACGAGCTTTGGTTTCACACTCAGTTTCATTGCTTTTAAACTCAACATCAAGTCTGTTCAATTTACTAGCTTTTGCATCAATGTCTCTTTCCTTTTGCCTGTATTGTTCATCAAGTCTTTTCAATTTTCTAGCTTTCACATCAATGTCTCTTTCATTTTGCCTGTATTGTTCATCAAGTCTTTTTCTCTTACGAGCTTTAGTTTCCCGCTCAGTTTCATTGCTTTTAAACTCAACATCAAGTCTGTTCAATTTTCTAGCTTTCGCATCAATGTCTCTTTCATTTCGCCTGTATTGTTCATCAAGTCTTTTTCTCTTACGAGCTTTGGTTTCACACTCAGTTTCATTGCTTTTAAACTGAACATCAAGTCTGTTTAATTTTCTAGCTTTTGCATCAATGTCTCTTTCCTTTTGCCTGTATTGTTCATCAAGTCTTTTCAATTTTCTAGCTTTCACATCAATGTCTCTTTCATTTTGCCTGTATTGTTCATCAAGTCTTTTTCTCTTACGAGCTTTAGTTTCCCGCTCAGTTTCATTGCTTTTAAACTCAACATCAAGTCTGTTCAATTTTCTAGCTTTCGCATCAATGTCTCTTTCATTTCGCCTCTATTGTTCATCAAGTCTTTTTCTCTTACGAGCTTTGGTTTCACACTCAGTTTCATTGCTTTTAAACTCAACATCAAGTCTGTTCAATTTTCTAGCTTTCACATCAATGTCTCTTTCATTTTGCCTGTATTGTTCATCAAGTCTTTTTCTCTTACGAGCTTTAGTTTCCCGCTCAGTTTCATTGCTTTTAAACTCAACATCAAGTCTGTTCAATTTTCTAGCTTTCGCATCAATGTCTCTTTTATTTTGCCTGTATTGTTCATCAAGTTTTTTTCTCTTACGAGCTTTGGTTTCACACTCAGTTTCATTGCTTTTAAACTGAACATCAAGTCTGTTTTATTTTCTAGCTTTTGCATCAATGTCTCTTTCCTTTTGCCTGTATTGTTCATCAAGTCTTTTCAATTTTCTAGCTTTCACATCAATGTCTCTTTCATTTTGCCTGTATTGTACATCAAGTCTTTTTCTCTTACGAGCTTTGGTTTCACACTCAGTTTCATTGCTTTTAAACTGAACATCAAGTCTGTTTAATTTTCTAGCTTTTGCATCAATGTCTCTTTCCTTTTGCCTGTATTGTTCATCAAGTCTTTTCAATTTTCTAGCTTTCACATCAATGTCTCTTTCATTTTGCCTGTATTGTTCATCAAGTCTTTTTCTCTTACGAGCTTTAGTTTCCCGCTCAGTTTCATTGCTTTTAAACTCAACATCAAGTCTGTTCAATTTTCCAGCTTTCGCATCAATGTCTCTTTCATTTTGCCTGTATTGTTCATCAAGTTTTTTTCTCTTACGAGCTTTGGTTTCACACTCAGTTTCATTGCTTTTAAACTCAACATCAAGTCTGTTCAATTTTCTAGCTTTTGCATCAATGTCTCTTTCCTTTTGCCTGTATTGTTCATCAAGTCTTTTCAATTTTCTAGCTTTCACATCAATGTCTCTTTCATTTTGCCTGTATTGTTCATCAAGTCTTTTTCTCTTACGAGCTTTAGTTTCCCGCTCAGTTTCATTGCTTTTAAACTCAGCATCAAGTCTGTTCAATTTTCTAGCTTTCGCATCAATGTCTCTTTCCTTTTGCCTGTATTGTTCATCAAGTCTTTTTCTCTTACGAGCTTTGGTTTCACACTCAGTTTCATTGCTTTTAAACTGAACATCAAGTCTGTTTAATTTTCTAGCTTTTGCATCAATGTCTCTTTCCTTTTGCCTGTATTGTTCATCAAGTCTTTTCAATTTTCTAGCTTTCACATCAATGTCTCTTTCATTTTGCCTGTATTGTTCATCAAGTCTTTTTCTCTTACGAGCTTTAGGTTCCCGCTCAGTTTCATTGCTTTTAAACTCAACATCAAGTCTGTTCAATTTTCTAGCTTTCGCATCAATGTCTCTTTCATTTCGCCTCTATTGTTCATCAAGTCTTTTTCTCTTACGAGCTTTGGTTTCACACTCAGTTTCATTGCTTTTAAACTCAACATCAAGTCTGTTCAATTTTCTAGCTTTCACATCAATGTCTCTTTCATTTTGCCTGTATTGTTCATCAAGTCTTTTTCTCTTACGAGCTTTAGTTTCCCGCTCAGTTTCATTGCTTTTAAACTCAACATCAAGTCTGTTCAATTTTCTAGCTTTCGCATCAATGTCTCTTTTATTTTGCCTGTATTGTTCATCAAGTTTTTTTCTCTTACGAGCTTTGGTTTCACACTCAGTTTCATTGCTTTTAAACTGAACATCAAGTCTGTTTTATTTTCTAGCTTTTGCATCAATGTCTCTTTCCTTTTGCCTGTATTGTTCATCAAGTCTTTTCAATTTTCTAGCTTTCACATCAATGTCTCTTTCATTTTGCCTGTATTGTACATCAAGTCTTTTTCTCTTACGAGCTTTGGTTTCACACTCAGTTTCATTGCTTTTAAACTGAACATCAAGTCTGTTTAATTTTCTAGCTTTTGCATCAATGTCTCTTTCCTTTTGCCTGTATTGTTCATCAAGTCTTTTCAATTTTCTAGCTTTCACATCAATGTCTCTTTCATTTTGCCTGTATTGTTCATCAAGTCTTTTTCTCTTACGAGCTTTAGTTTCCCGCTCAGTTTCATTGCTTTTAAACTCAAGATCAAGTCTGTTCAATTTTCTAGCTTTCGCATCAATGTCTCTTTTATTTTGCCTGTATTGTTCATCAAGTTTTTTTCTCTTACGAGCTTTGGTTTCACACTCAGTTTCATTGCTTTTAAACTGAACATCAAGTCTGTTTTATTTTCTAGCTTTTGCATCAATGTCTCTTTCCTTTTGCCTGTATTGTTCATCAAGTCTTTTCAATTTTCTAGCTGTCACATCAATGTCTCTTTCATTTTGCCTGTATTGTACATCAAGTCTTTTTCTCTTACGAGCTTTAGTTTCCCGCTCAGTTTCATTGCTTTTAAACTCAACATCAAGTCTGTTCAATTTTCCAGCTTTCGCATCAATGTCTCTTTCATTTTGCCTGTATTGTTCATCAAGTTTTTTTCTCTTACGAGCTTTGGTTTCACACTCAGTTTCATTGCTTTTAAACTCAACATCAAGTCTGTTCAATTTTCTAGCTTTTGCATCAATGTCTCTTTCCTTTTGCCTGTATTGTTCATCAAGTCTTTTCAATTTTCTAGCTTTCACATCAATGTCTCTTTCATTTTGCCTGTATTGTTCATCAAGTCTTTTTCTCTTACGAGCTTTAGTTTCCCGCTCAGTTTCATTGCTTTTAAACTCAGCATCAAGTCTGTTCAATTTTCTAGCTTTCGCATCAATGTCTCTTTCCTTTTGCCTGTATTGTTCATCAAGTCTTTTTCTCTTACGAGCTTTGGTTTCACACTCAGTTTCATTGCTTTTAAACTGAACATCAAGTCTGTTTAATTTTCTAGCTTTTGCATCAATGTCTCTTTCCTTTTGCCTGTATTGTTCATCAAGTCTTTTCAATTTTCTAGCTTTCACATCAATGTCTCTTTCATTTTGCCTGTATTGTTCATCAAGTCTTTTTCTCTTACGAGCTTTAGGTTCCCGCTCAGTTTCATTGCTTTTAAACTCAACATCAAGTCTGTTCAATTTTCTAGCTTTCGCATCAATGTCTCTTTCATTTCGCCTCTATTGTTCATCAAGTCTTTTTCTCTTACGAGCTTTAGTTTCCCGCTCAGTTTCATTGCTTTTAAACTCAACATCAAGTCTGTTCAATTTTCTAGCTTTCGCATCAATGTCTCTTTCATTTCGCCTGTATTGTTCATCAAGTCTTTTTCTCTTACGAGCTTTGGTTTCACACTCAGTTTCATTGCTTTTAAACTGAACATCAAGTCTGTTTTATTTTCTAGCTTTTGCATCAATGTCTCTTTCCTTTTGCCTGTATTGTTCATCAAGTCTTTTCAATTTTCTAGCTTTCACATCAATGTCTCTTTCATTTTGCCTGTATTGTACATCAAGTCTTTTTCTCTTACGAGCTTTAGTTTCCCGCTCAGTTTCATTGCTTTTAAACTCAACATCAAGTCTGTTCAATTTTCTAGCTTTTGCATCAATGTCTCTTTCCTTTTGCCTGTATTGTTCATCAAGTCTTTTCAATTTTCTAGCTTTCACATCAATGTCTCTTTCATTTTGCCTGTATTGTTCATCAAGTCTTTTTCTCTTACGAGCTTTAGTTTCCCGCTCAGTTTCATTGCTTTTAAACTCAGCATCAAGTCTGTTCAATTTTCTAGCTTTCGCATCAATGTCTCTTTCCTTTTGCCTGTATTGTTCATCAAGTCTTTTTCTCTTACGAGCTTTGGTTTCACACTCAGTTTCATTGCTTTTAAACTGAACATCAAGTCTGTTTAATTTTCTAGCTTTTGCATCAATGTCTCTTTCCTTTTGCCTGTATTGTTCATCAAGTCTTTTCAATTTTCTAGCTTTCACATCAATGTCTCTTTCATTTTGCCTGTATTGTTCATCAAGTCTTTTTCTCTTACGAGCTTTAGGTTCCCGCTCAGTTTCATTGCTTTTAAACTCAACATCAAGTCTGTTCAATTTTCTAGCTTTCGCATCAATGTCTCTTTCATTTCGCCTCTATTGTTCATCAAGTCTTTTTCTCTTACGAGCTTTAGTTTCCCGCTCAGTTTCATTGCTTTTAAACTCAACATCAAGTCTGTTCAATTTTCTAGCTTTCGCATCAATGTCTCTTTCATTTCGCCTGTATTGTTCATCAAGTCTTTTTCTCTTACGAGCTTTGGTTTCACACTCAGTTTCATTGCTTTTAAACTGAACATCAAGTCTGTTTTATTTTCTAGCTTTTGCATCAATGTCTCTTTCCTTTTGCCTGTATTGTTCATCAAGTCTGTTCAATTTTCCAGCTTTCCCATCAATGTCTCTTTCATTTTGCCTGTATTGTTCATCTTGATGTTTGTCCTTTAGAGCTTTTGATCCTCGTGCATTTTTATCTTGATTATAACTATCATTCTTTCGTTTGTTCCTTTTATCTAACACTTGTTTGAAAGTGAATCTCCTACTTTTCCTTCTATTCTGCATATAAGTCCTGAAGTAATCTGTTCTACTCATGGAAGGCTGAAAGAGATAAGATGTCAATTAATTTTTTAAGGGATGAGAGAAAAGTTGAGATACTACTAAGAATTTATATAACTAGTCTGGAAAAACCAGAAATTAACTAAATAGTAACGACAACCAGCGAAATGACCAAAATGATCCTTATTGCAAACCAAAAAATTCAAAACCCTCAAAATTGAAAGGCTTTATTCTCTAGAAGTGGTTGATGTGAATGAATGACATCAGAAAAGCTAACAGGAAAACAGTAGCCAGAGAGAGATAGCAATAGGGATAGAAGTTATCATGACCAAACCATAATTAAAATTCCTAGATTCTTGTGTACGTCAAACCCAATCAATTTGACTTTGATTTTTGTTCATGTTTCTTTTGATAAGAGGTATTCATCTCAGTATCGGCAATATCCATAAGAACAAATAACAAATTTTATCAGGACTGTCAAGTTTTTATCAGACTTTTGTGTGAGATTTGACTTGCAAGAGACTAGACAGATCTGTTATATCAATAGACATGATTTTCAAAACAACAGATATTTACAGATTCCCTGTAATTTCTACATGAGGGTAGAATAAACTCCTGCTTTAGATAAACATGAAATGATTTAACTAATACCTTATTTTCATCTTTATCCACTGGACTTTGTTTTGGTATTTTGTAGTTTTTTGGGACTGTGTGAACTTTCAAGATCTGGAATATAATCAAAGACATTATATAAAATCAAATACAAAGTATGTTTGATAAGATGTAAAAAAATATCATCATAAACAAGGATATATTATTTATCATCTGAAACCAGCAATTAAACATATTCTAAGACTATGCCTTTCACATTGTACTCTTCTCACAATCATAACTCACCTTCCAATAATGGGCAACAGTATCTCCAAGTATCATTAAGTACATCTGATCAAGGCATTTTTGAAATATGAACATGACATAATTTTTTCTATTTCTATTTTTAGTTATTTTGTGTTCATATTTCATTTCGTTACTGAATGTTCCTCGTTTTGTTGGTGGGTGTTTTTCTTGGTCTTCTAATTGTCCATTAAATTTCAAGTTAGAATCTTGGTTGCCTAGTTTTTACTTTCTACACAGATAGACAGACAGATGAATCATTTGAACATAAAAGAGCTTTCAATACATATTTATACCTCTTTAGGAAGTGCCACAGGACTTGGTTTGGTTGTCGTTGCAATGGGTTGTCTCACAAAGGAGGGTACATGTGCTTGTTTCATGTAACATGGCTTAATTGAACGTGGTTTGGATGGACCTGGTTGTTGATCTGGTTCTGTTTTCGCTTGATATGGTTTGGATGGACCCCGTTGTTTATCTGGTTCTGTTTTGGCTGCATGTGGTTTGGATGGACCTGGTTGTTCATCTGGTTCTTTTTTCGCTAGACGTGGTTTGGATGGACCCCTTTGTTTATCTGGTTTTGTTTTGGCTGCATGTGGTTTAGATGGACCCTGTTGTTTATCTGGTCCTGTTTTCGCTGGAAGTGATTTGGATGGACCCAGCTGTGTCACTTCAAATGGCTTTTTCATGTTCTGTAGTTGCTTAGTTGAAACTAGGACCTGCTGTTTGGTGGTAGGAACCTAAAAAAACATACGTTCTTGATTTATACTTCAGAAAGAATTATCTGCATAAAGGTATGAGAAAACCTCAAAACATTTCTAAGCCAGTTTTCAGATTCATAAAACTCTTTCATTCAATGAGTATGTTAAATATTTGTAAAGTCTTGCTGTAAAATGGGAAATTTTCAGGATTCTTAACACAATTACCTTGTTGGAATATTTCTCTGGACCTGGTTCTGTAGCCATTGAGTTTTGTTGTCCTCCTTTAATGGTATCAACCTAAAAACAAAAGCATAGGCAACTAACTATACATGTACATGCAATTTTCAGGATACCTTTTACACAAGTTTTATATTGTAATGCATTGTTATCTAATATTGCATAACATGTATTCATAAGGGGCGTACCCACCACATGCAAAAGTGGCATAAATATGATGATTTTTAGTGAAATTTTCACATTTCACTCCACTTGCCGATTTTAACACGTCACATCCCCTCTTAACTTAATTTCTTAGACCCCCCCCCCCCCCCCCCCCCCCATTCTGCTCCTCCTTGGTCACTTTTATAAATGTTTGATTAAAGAGCCTTGAAAAGGCAACATTTGAGGTACATACCAATGACTCTTTCTTCCGTTTTCTTTCCAATTGTAATGTCTTTTCGGACTTCTTTTCAAACTTCCCCATGATAAATAGTGTGATTTCACAAAGTATTATTTCTATATAATTTGAGTTGCCACTATATTCTGTTACTTTGCACCAATCAATTCCATACTGTCCTGATTTTAGTCATGAAAACATCACCGGGTTATCCATTCACTAAAAAAAAAAAACTTTATTACTATCAAATACATAAATTTTACAAAGTACATTCTTTGTGTACAAGTATATAAATTAACAACACAAAAAGTACAGTTTGCAATGTCAGCTCTGCAACTAAGTTAATTAATTAACAACATAAAAAGTACAATTCAGTTTGCAATATCAGCTCTGGAACTAAGTTTTTTCTATTGATCGATCATTTGTCTTTGGTCTTTCCATTAACATTCTTTGTGACTGCACTCGTAGATGCTTTGTTATCTTTCTTTGTGATGGCACTTGTAGATGCTTCATCAAAATTCTTTGTGATGGCACGTGTAGAGGCTTGATCATCATTCTTCGTGATGGCACTCGTAGAGGCTTCATCATTTTTCTTCATTGGTGTACTTGTAAAAGAACACTCTTCAAGTTTAATATTCTTTTCTTCTATTGAGTCATCCAAGAGTGACATTTCCAGTTCAAATTGTTGCACTCTTTCATATCTTTCACATTTTCTCTTCATGTCAAATTTTTCTTTCTTCAAACTGCAGAGTTCAGTCCTAAATTTTTTTTCGTTTTCTGCCATTGTCTTCTTTAGGTTTGAAAGTTCGTTATTCAGGTTGATAGCTTCCTTCCTTAATTCATTTCCGAGCTTTTTAATTTTGTCTGTTGATGAGTTCATAAACCTTCCATGTTCATCATTTGATCTTGATACCTTTCCAAAGCATCCATTTACAGCAATTATATCATCAGCAATTTGGTTAATCTTGTCCATTTTTATCTACATAAAAAACAAGTATGGAACATTAAGTTATACCCTGCCACTTACCGATGGAAAAGGGGTGGATGACAATAAAATGAAAAATGGCAGAACTCAAAAAGTATATTTTGGATTAAGCCATTGATCCTTTCTTTAAGTTATAATCTGGAAACTGCCATGAGAGGACAGATAGACAGACACTCAACAGCTATTTTTTTTTGGAGGGAATCACATAATACTGTAATTGGCATGGTATAAAAATATTTCAAAATTCAAAATTGATCCAAGAATACATGTACTTGAGTAATGGTATATCATTGAAAATGCTGATGCACAGACACAATGAGAGTGATTACTGTAGGAGGTTGCCGTTCTCACAACAAGACCCTAATAATGAATATCCCAGCCACTGCAGCTGATGTCCATGCCACTAGGCAAATCCATGATCATTTTGTCATTCCAAACTAGATTGTATTAATGAATATCCCAGCCACTGCAGCTACTGTCCATGCCACTGGGCAAACCCATGGTCCTTTTGTCATTCCAAACTCATTTGTACTAGTATGCGAATATATTTAGAGATAAGCATTTATAGAAAAGCATGATGTATGTTACAACAATTAAATGATACATTGGTAAGAGTTAAAGCTACAAAACATGCATAAACTATGTTTTATTTGTGATGAAAGCATACTAATGATTAAGTGTGGAAGGTCCGGCAACACTATGAGGGAGCGGACCATGGAAAGGGTTACATTACAGGCAAATTTTTTTTTGTTATCAGAATCATAGTTGATACCCAATGAAATTGATCTGTATATGTAAAAGTGACATAATTTAGCAGCATTAGCCAAAAATCAGATGTAATGAAACCCTTTTTCAAACCAAATGTTTTGGGTTTTGGTTGTCTTTAGTGAAGGAATGTCTGCTTAATTTTGAAAAAACTATATAAGCATGTTCATCAGTTTACATAAATTGCAGTTTTCACACTGCTATTATAAAAAAAATTTTAAAAAGTGAAAAAACATTTGATTTGAATGTTGCCATATGAAAGCTGTGCAAAGATTTTACTAAAGGATTTTAATCAATATTTACCTTTTTTTTCAAGCTGCAATATACTCCATTCTAGCACATCTGAAATGCTGACTACAATCCCCCTATATTTAATGGAGCTGCTAGTGGGATGTTGAAAACTCGGCAAAACATAAGCGTGTAAACTTTTAAGAAAAAGATACAGCAGGACAAAAGACAAAAAGGTCAATAAAAATTCAATAACTCAAAAATAAAATAAAGAATCATCATGAAAAAGAAAGTGTTATGCAATAATCATTAATAGTCTCTGAGATACAGTGTGACATGTGAACCCCCCCCCCTTTTTTTATAAAAAACTCAACTCAATAACTCTAAAATAAAATTTTGAATCATCACCAAAAAAAATACAGATCTTTAGATTAATATAACTAAGAAGTGTGTAAAATTTTAAGCAATAATCATAAATCGTTTTTGAGATACGGCGCGACATGTGAAAACCCCCTCCCCCTTTTTTTACAAAATACTCAATAACTCTAAAATAAAATTTTGAATCATCACCAAAAAGTATACAGATCTTAAGGTTAATATAACTAAGAAGTGTGTAAAGTTTTAAGCAATAATCATAAACTGTTTTTGAGATACGGCGCGACATGGGGAAAACCCCTCCCCCTTTTTTAACAAAATACTCAATATCTCTAAAATAAAATTTTGAATCATCACCAAAAGGTATACAGATCTTATGATTAATATAACTAAGAAGTGTGTAAAGTTTTAAGCAATAATCATAAATTGTTTTTGAGATATGCCGCGACATGTGAAAAAAAACACACACCTGTTTTAGTTACTAAGTCCCGTAACTCAAAAAGTTTTAATCTTATTTTCACCAAAAAGTATACAGATCGTTTGACCATCATAAGAAAGAACTATGTTAAGTTTCATAAAATTTGGATAAGTCATTCTCAAGTTACTGTGCGACATGTTTACGCCGGACAGACAGACGGACAGACGGACAGACAGACGGACGGACGGACAGACAGACGGACGGACGCCGGACATTTGTATACCATAATACGTCCCGTCAAAAATTTGACAGGCGTATAAAAACCAACGATTATTATCAAAATCTATAAAAGATAAATCCATGTATAAAAGTCCTGCAAATGCAGTTTAAAAGTGACATTATGTGCATGTTAAATAAAATGAAAAAATGATCACCACAAACTATATCAATGGTAAAATTATTATTATTTGATTGACCTCATATCCAGAATGGTTCATGCATTTAAAGACTGTAAACAAAGCTAATAAAAAAAATCTGACAAGAATCTAGGGGATTATGGGTAATTTCCTTGTTCATACCCCCAGAATGGTATCACAAAATTTAGTGAACAGTTTTGAACATGATAACCAGAATGCATTAGATTCTGAAATAATGGTGAACAGTTTTAATGTACAAAATTTTACATATTGTTCAACAGAAACTGTGCTTTGACATGCCCTTGAACCAAGGTGTTTCCATCACTATTCTATTTTGTTTTTCTGACTGAATAAACTTCAGCCAAAGTTGCACAACACAACTTAATGTATGCAAATGGTTGCAAGTCTTATGGATGTTTTGTAAAACAGTAACAGTACTCTGGTACTTCCCAAATTACAATAATTTTACAGTTTTATTAAATGTAAATCAAATATACAATAATATCATGAAAGTAGAAAAAATGAAAACATATTCATAACTGGAAATTTGAAATCAGAACAAAACCAAAATGATTACACAGAACACTGAGTCTTTCCTGTGCTGCTGCGGTCATTGCTAAGTTGACTGTCAAAAAATAAGTGAATTTATCAATAAAAAAAAGGAAATTCTCTTTTCTAAAGATTCTATATCTTGATCATGAAGAATTTTCTGTTCATGTTTCCTTACAGTCCGTGGAGGTTTAAAACAGTTATTTGTGTCTAAAAACTAAAACTATAACCCTAGGCTAAATGTAAATCTTAAATGCAAAAAAAGTCCATCTATCAGTAAAATACTGAAAATTGAATAAGTATATTTTCTGAATTTTACTTCACACATTTTCTCTTAATCATTAAAAAGCTTCTCTGAAGGTTTCATAAAATTCTCTGAAGGTTTGACGCTATTGAGGTCTAAAACTTTTAAACCCAAGACTGTATTGCAAAAAAACACTAAGTCCACTAGAATTCAAAGTTTTGCTTTTGATAGTGTCTTTTGATAAAGAATAATCTTCTGTTCAAGTTTCATGAAATTCCACGAAGTTTGACAAAGTTATTGATGTTTGAGAAACTTGAACTATAGACTGCATAATATTGGAAATGTTAATGAAAGAAACTAAAAGAAAACCAATCTTAATCCAGCAGGGGCATAAAAATTAAGAAGAAGAAAATGTCTAGTTATTGGCCAAACTGACGAAACTTCAAGTATGAAGAGTTAAACAGGGGTATTATTTCCCCTTGACCCTGTTAGACTTATCATCCTTTACAACTGAGCAGAGTACATGCAGTGAGAGGCAGTCAGTCACATATCTGTGACGATTAGTAAATGTAGATTATTTTTAGATCTTTTATTCTTTACCAATGGAAATGTTTACTAGATAAGAACCATTATATCTGTTAGACAAAAGTTTATGTCCACAAGTAAACAATTGTCCATGCCATTTAATAGTAGGGAGAAAAAGATAGTTTAGTAAAAATTCAAAACACAAAAATAACCCGTAATTATAACCTCCATTTTTGTTGAAAATGGAGAATCTTTACATTACCACAAATTTTAAATGTTTATAATACATTCTTTAAGGATGTAGTCAGGTGAAATCAGAAAAGCATTAGTTATAACAATATAGGCTAAAAATATCGATAGGTATGACACTCATCTTACCCCCATGTCAGATTTGCTCTAAAAGCTTTAGTTTTGGAGATATAAGCAAAAAACTGCATTTGACCCCTATGTTCTATTTTTAGCCATGGCGGCCATGTTTGTCGATGGATCAAAACTTCAGATACAATTTATTAACTAGATACCCTAAGGAACATTTAGTTAAAGTTTGAAGGTATTTGGCCCAGTAGTTTCAGAGGAGAAGAT